TCTGAATCTGAATCTTTCTTGCTCTTTTAGTTTTCCAGAATTCTCTGTTTTCACTCTTTTAGTTTTCCAGAATTCTCTGTTTTCATTAAAAAAGATTGAAACTTTTTGAATTTTTCTTTGTAAATCTTCTCTTTGTTTGCAAAATCAATTCTTTCTTTCAAACTATTATGACGACTCATGTAACTATTTGTTTGGTTTAGAAGTGGTAGTTGATTTCCCCATACTAACCTTATATATTGGTTCCTCTTCAATGGTTGCAGTGTATCTTTGATAACTGGTAATGGCTACTGAAAAGAATTCGGCTATGAATTGTATCCTTTACTGCTTGCACTTTTACTTGTTCTGTATGTACTTTCTTGATTGGTTTTTGATTCAGACAATGTTCTTGTGTTGGGTAATTTCAGATGCATTTGGCTTTTTAGTAGACTTTTGTAACAGTTTTGATATAAAGTGTCGAACTTTCCAAGAATTGGGGTTTCTTTTGTTATGTCAATTTGTGTTTGCTCCTTAACATTAACTCTAGCTGAGTCTTCTTTTGCTGGAACTGTGCAAGATCCTGATTCTAAAACAAAGAAACACGATGAGGTTACTTAAAAATCCTATTAGCCACATTCTTAATCTCTTGTTGGAAAAGATTGCTTATTTTGTGTTGGTTATCTTTTTCAGTCTCCTCCAACAAATGACACAAACCGTACCGTAACAAGGTCGACTACCTCATCCGTTACTGTTAGTGCATCTGCTAATGGTAAGATTCTTATATGAGGAGAAAAAAAAATGATATTTGATTTGTATAATTGATTATTATGGCTCAGTAAGGAATGATCTATAGCTATTTTGTTAAGTGATTGTGGCTTGTGATGCGTTTTGCAGGATCTGATGTAGTCTCCTCTCGGCCAAATGTCAATGGTCAAGCATGTGCTACGGATTTTATAAAGGTTTGATATTGTCCATTGGGTTTTATTGCACATCCTGCTACTGTAATTTAATTGTTTGACATTCTACCATATTCGTTGCTGGGTCGTTTTGCAGGGAAGTCACCGTGACAGAAACAGTTCATATGGCTATTATGATTTGAATTTTCGGGGAGACCGAGCAAAAAGAAGCAATTGTTGGTCTCAAACTTCGGTGTCGTCTCCTAAGCCTCCTGGAAATTTCACTGGTGCGGGTAGACTTCCTCCCAATTCACAATCACTTGGATTCAGATCGCCAGTTAAGGTACCTACACATATCTATATAAATAGTTTAATACCAAAGCTCTTTTCTGTATATTCAGACAGTCTGAGGTTGGAATTTAAATTGTTGCATAATCATATCTTATTTAGTGTTTCCTCTCAATGCCTTTTGAAGGGAAAGCAAGCTGCAGGACAGTTCTTACAATTTTCCAATCAAAAGACTAGCTGCGCCCCATATAGCGGTTACACTAATGGAAACTCGAATAGTGGTTTCTGGGATCAGAGAGATCATTATGGGAAGCCTGAGAGAGATGGAGAGTCTGATACCTTGGTTGAATTGAAACGTGGCCCGAGAGTCCATGCAAAGACTAGTTCTCCTTCTGAGTCATCATCACTAAAGCAAAACAATTCGTTTGCCTTGGCTCTTCGCAGAGAGATGTATAACCTCCCAGATTTTGAGACCGACTATGAGGATGCCAAATTTTTCGTAATCAAGTCCTACAGCGAAGATGATGTTCACAAGAGTATCAAATATTCTGTGTGGTCAAGCACTACCAACGGAAACAAGAAACTCGATGCAGCTTTCCGTGATGCTGAAATGAAAACACTCGAGGATGGCAAGAAACGTCCAATTTTTCTCTTCTTCTCGGTGAGTAAGCTTTGAGATGTGTCTTCTTTTCTTCTGTGATGAAGGGTGTCTAGTTAGTCTCATGTTTGGTTTCTTACCCGCTCTTTACGCAGGTGAATGCGAGTAGACAGTTTGTGGGATTAGCTGAGATGGTGGGATACGTGGACTTCAACAAGGATTTAGATTTCTGGCAGGTTGATAAATGGAGCGGCTTTTTCCCCGTTGAATGGCATGTGGTTAAAGATGTCCCTAACTGGGAATTATGCCATATCATCCTTCACAACAATGAAGGCAAGCCAGTTACTTATACGAGGGATACTCAAGAGATCAAATTCAAAGAAGGTCTTCAAATGCTTTCGATATTTAAGAAATACTCTGCTGTAACATCTTTGATAGACGACATGGACTTTTACGAAGAACGAGAGAAGTCTCTTCGAGTGAAGAAGGAGCATAAACCGGCCACTCTTCGGATGGATCTAGTCAAAGAGAAAGACTATGATGTAAAAACGCTCATGACCTTAACTAATTACTTGTTCTTCCTCTCTAATACTTGCAACTTCTTGTGTTTCTTTTCATCTAAAACTTGGTTTTGTGTTTATTGAATCAGTACGAGATGGAAGGAAACAGGAGAATGAACCATGAAGAAAGAGGATATAACTGGAACAGAAGTAGCAGTAGCAAAACAGAAGCATCTCTTGTCAATCTAACCAAGAATCTCTCCTTAAGATCAGGCTACTCTGTTTCCAAGAAGAACACTGGCAATTCAAGATGATACATTCTTCAATCTTATGTTCCTCTTTTATCTGTTAGTGAATTTGCTTTAACTAGCTTAGGATCAGTAGGTTTC